TCTGTTAATGTAACCCTACAATAAAGATAGAGGTAGTACTCCTGGTGTGCTTGTTGTCTGGACTACCTCATAAGGCTGACATCCAGCAAAACATTGGCAGCTTGCTGAGCACCCCTGAGCAAAAGCAGAACCATAGCTTTGGCCCATTACGTTGCACAGACAAGCAAAAAAGAAGGCAGACATGGTGTAAATTATAGCATGATGCTGGAATGTTGTTGATAAACCCATTTGGGTGACCTAGCCATACTATCTTTGAGATATGGTCAGTGAATATGAACAATTTGGTTTACTGGGCCTGTCTGATTCCTCTCCCTGTAGCCACTCAGGACCAATTCAACTTGCTGGGAATATTTTATTACAAGGGCATTTTAAGCAGGTCACATGTATGGGAGGCATCTTTTACCACCACATTCCCCCAATTTTTTCCCCTTCCTTTCAGATGTCTAAAATGGTGCTGGGGTTCCAAATAGATAAGCGACCAGTAGGGATAATGAGTATTGTGATAGCAGGGTCTATATTCAGTAGAACAGAAAGGACCACACAATTTGCACCATCATTATACATAGATATATGAGACACCTAAATAGATGTACAAGAAACCATCCGACCTTCAATCCATCCTTTGCAATCCCTTTTCATCTTTTTAACTTCTTAAAACAAACTATGTTTTTCTCCACCTTCTTTTTCCCATACTAATGATGTTCAGGGGCACCATCTTCTTCTCTTCCCAAATGATTGCTTCAGTATAAAGCAGTTTTTCAAGGCCTATTTAACAGTTCTGGAAAAGAAAAGGACTGAAGTCGTTCTGTAAAGGAATCTTGGCTTCATTTATTACAGTAGCCAGACTCTGGTTCTAAATACATGTATTGGATTTTTTTTTCTTTTTTGCAAAAAAATAATTGAGCTGTCATTCAAGCCATTTAAACCATCACGACAAGTACTGTAATTTCTTCCTTTTCGCTAGTGATGCTAAAATCTAATTACAAAAGTAGGAGGGGGATCACTGCATCATATCCAGGACATTTAAACTGATATTTTCCTGTTCTCCTCCTTTCTTCAACACTGATGTTACTTAAAAAAAAAATACAAGAAATATGGGATACAAAGCAAGGTTTAGCTCAGTGTCAGGTGTGCTGTCTGATTTTTTATCTCTATAAACCAAGGGATAATTCCAGGGTTTGGGGTTTTTTTTCATTTTCTTTCCAAAATGAAGGGACAGTAATAACATTAAATGAACTAGGCTGTGACCAAACAAATCTTTTGACTCAGAATCATTAACAAGCTCTAACCCCCTATCCATAAAGGAACATTAAAGGAACATTAAATCCCACTGATCAACATATCAAGACAGTGACTTCAGAGCAGTTCCATTTTACATTAATTTAGTGAGCTACGAAGATTTGAGGTATTGATGTCAATCCTTTTAAACCAGAGGTGGGTGATCTGCAGCTCCAGTTTACATACAGTCCTTGAACTATATTTGTGGGGTTGGATCCCTAGAGCCCCCAAACACATGTGCTGACAATGCCTTGTTTCCCACAACTTAGAGATGAGAAACACACAAACACAGTAACGCCTAAATCAGTTTTAATATAGCTATAAAAAGTACCACCCCAAATCTTTTCCTCGCCCACTTTATATCACACTTCCACTGACTGTGGCCACTGTTAGCCCCTTACCCCTGTTAAATTCAGCCCCAGGTGACCAAAACATTGTCTGATTGATTATATGCCATCAAGTCATTTTTGACTCCTAGCAACCATATAGGTTTGTTGTATATAATCTAAAAACATTATCGAGCCCAGCCTTAAATTCTTTGATAGCTAAATACCATCAAACCATTTTTTTTTTAAGTTGCTGGAGAGAAAAAAAAAATCACACGGAGTGCTACATTTGCATCATTAACACCAAGAGAATAAACTATGCCCTAAAGGAAATCAGTACTGAGGTTTTAAAGAGTTTAAACAGCTGGAAATCTGCCAACATTTTGTTCCAGGACTTAGTTGCGCTTTGAAAATGAATGGCTGCACATTGTTCCTTGTGACCATTATGCACGTTTAAATAAGCAAAGGAAACCTGTTCAGAAGAGGAAGTCGACTTCTGTCATGCGATCTTACGTCAGATGGAAAAGGTAACCTGTTTGCTTTGTGGTGACAGTTTTCATATATTGCTTCAAGGTCTGAAGGCAGGAAAGACCCACGGATTCCGCAACTCCAGCCCACATAGCCAAAGGTGAGCGATGCTTGAGTTGTAGTCTGATAACATCTGGATGGCTGCATGTTCCCCATTCCTGACATCTTAGCACCTAATCCACTTTTCTTAGCATTGGAAAGTGGAACTGGCTGTCAGGCCTAGCCCAAGGAACTCCAAGAGACCATGCCAATTCAGTCCAGCTATGTGTATTAGCTACAACCTCTAGCAAGAATCTTCCCAGACAAAACCCCCAGTCCCCAAAGTCCCCCAGCCACAACAGTGCGAATTCCTCAGGGAGGTGCCAGTCTCATCCTCTTGTTCCTCCCACACGGTTCTGGCGAGCTAAGAAAATGTTTATCTCCCTAAGCCTGGCCTTCATAATTCCATTCCATCACACTGCCATATTCTTTCGACTTGGGGCCTTTTAGTTAAAGCAAACATCGCTGAGGTCTCATTCTCACTTCCCTTTGGATCCAAGAAAAGGCCTTTTGAAACATCTGTGGTTTCTGAAAAGTAGATCTGGATTATCATATCTGGGGTGCAACAGTTCACACCACAGGGAGATGTGTCAGCCTTGTGTGGAGCCCAGACAAGAAGCAAGCTCAGAAGTACTGGCTCTGACTTTATTGTAAGGTTACATTAACAGAAGCTTGCAAGTCTGAAAGTTCATCTTTCTCCCCCTCATCTTTCCAGTCCAAGAAACTAGGGAGGGTCCCTTCTGAGACGTTTGCCACACCCGCATTCCTTCTGCGGGCTCAGCCGCCTCTTCTCTGACCGTCGTCTAGGCTGCGGCTCTTCCCCCTGTCTCCCAAGGTCATTCCCATGTACCATTACAAATGGCAGCAAAGAGGCAGAGTCTTCTGTCCCTCTTTGGTGCCACCCGGGGGTAATCTGAATTGTTGCAAACTAATTATGGGACATTAGTCAAAGCTGTGCAAGACTCTTAGCCCAGGGGCCTTCAGAGCTAAAATTGCAAACTGTAAGCTGCTCGGTACAGAAAGTCACTGAGACACTGTCTTGATGAAGTATTAACTGGCTTTGCATTAGTCCTATATACCCAGACTGACCATTGGTTCGCACTGTCCAGAAACAGTTTGAAAGAGCTTCCTGCTTGAGCAATAGTTTACTGGCCTGGCTCTTGTGTCCACTTCTGCCAGATTGATTGGCCTACTATGTTGAGTTCTGATGATGTTTTCTTGAACGAGCCATGGAGATGGAGCTTGCACATAATGCTACACCATAAACCATTGTCAACAAAGCACAGTGGCTGCATTCACACATCACACTAAGTCAAAGCGAAACAAAGATAACACCATCCAGCCTTTCAAAAGCTCTGTTAAGATTTATATCATACCTTTCCCCCAGAAGCTGAAGACAATTGGGGATTTCACCTTCATTTATCCCTGTAGCAACCATCCTGGTTTGAAGAGTGTTTGGCCCACAATCACCCAGTAGGTTTTCATGGCTAGGACTGGACTTGCAACTTTCCAGTCCTAATCCAGCATCTTAACCACTGCATCACCTGGCTGAACAAGGCCCAGCTATTTACCTCTTGATTGGGAGCAGGGGGGCGATGTACACATTTTAGGCATGGTCAATGAATCTAATTTCTTCCTCCCAAGAGGTCTTAAGGGCTAATTACTTGTTTTGGGGCTGGGTTTTTGTTTTTGTTTTGTTTTGAGTTTGTTTTAAAGCAAGCAAACTGATATATTCAATTTAAAAAACCCTGATATATTCAACAAAACATCATTCTGCATGGGTGGTAGCATGGACTGCACATGTAAGTGGCTCTAAGAGTCAGGATCTGGTCACTTGGCATCTGCTTTGGACATGAGAAGTTCCAACGGACAGGGTCACCTTAGGAGCTGGCTTAATCAGGTTCAAAACATCTCCTTTCGGTATTTATTTTTCTTGCAATTCTTCCGACTGTTCTCAGAAGATTCATTTCTGCGGCTCATGTTCTATTGTTGGGCTATGTGCCACCCACACTTGGCATGGAATGCTGTCCAGCTGGTCTGAGTTGGCCATGTGATGCCGAGTAAATGCTGGCTTAGAAGCTTATTGCCATGGTCAATATTTGCAGTAGCTGGAGGGAGGGAAGATCTTTTTTTTTTTTTCTTTCTTTTTCTCTCTGGCTTCCCAGCCCAAGCCGCTCACATTGACGCAAAAGTTTCTGGAGTTGCTTAAAATCTTTCTCAAAGCTGATGGGTGGGTCTTGCTCACCTCCTCTTCTGCAAATGTTCCAAGCTTCGAGGAGAGCAGAAAATGAAGGACAGGTTAGAGGAGCTCCGGAGCCGCATGTATGAAAATGGGGATTCTTTGGATCTGGATGAGACCCTCTCATTTGACAACCCTGTTTTTCAAGAAGACGAGAGCAACCCCATGAGTAAGGTTTTACAAGAAATAAGCAGCCTCTCCTTGGCTCTGGATAAGTTGGAGCAATTATCTGAGAACATTGATAAGAAACAGCAGCAGGTGCTTTGTTGCACCACGGAAGAAAGCATTTGCGTGGAGAAAAAAGAGCTGAGCACCATGAAAGATATTTTCACCAGGGAGGCTAAAGTACTCCAACCAAGACTCAATGGCATCCAGGAGGCGCTTGCCAAGGACAGCGGTAAGAGTCTGGCCATCAGCCGAATTCGCTACAGCCAGTTCTCGGTGCTAGTCAACCGCTACCGTGAGATCATCACCCGTCATTATGCCAAGGAAACCCACTATGTGGAGAAGCTGAAGGAGCAGATCCAGAGGCAAACAGAACTGGCAGGGTTGAGTCTTCAGGAGGAGGATATCAAGCGACTGGTGGAGAGCCCAATGATGCCGTGCATTGTTGGCCAAGACTTGGAAGTGCTGAAAGCCAAGCAGCACCTCGCCATGGCCCAGGTGCGCCACCAGCAGCTGCTCGACTTGGAGGCCCAGATCAGTGAGCTACACTCCCTCTTCTTACACTTGGAGATCCTGGTTTTAGAACAACAGGAGGTCGTCAACAGTATTGAGTACAACATTCTGCACACCATTGATTACATTTCCCAGTCCAATGAGGAGGTCAAGAAAGCCATCAAATATGAGCGTCATTCCCGGTTGTCTTCCATGTTGTCCGCGCTCCTAGGCCTTTGTGCCTGTTGTACGTGCCTATCGTGTATGGCAACTCCAAGTGTGATGCGCTGAACAAAAAAGGGAAGGAGTCATTTCTTTCAAGGAGAAAGGGGAACCCTTGATGACCGAGAGACTTCTGGAGCACTGGATGTACTACATCTGAGAACAAGTCAGTCTGGATAAAGGGGGTTGATGGATGCGTCCAGAAAGGCAATGCTGGCCTGGGTTCAGTTGAGTATTTTGCTCTGTGTTTCAAAGCAAAAGAAGAGATCTGCTGAGATAGGATATGGGTTCAGCAGAGCTCAGCACCCTTTCTGTTTCCAGCAGCATATGACTCTGCTTCTGGATTGCTGGTATGCAGGCTGTCATGATCCCATGTCCTAGTTGTAGGTTTTAACTACTAGTATTCAGCTGCCTTCCACACCAAGAGATTCTGTTTTGCTAAGCCTGGCGAACTGTGGTGAACAGATGTGTTCTCCTTGTATTCTGTTTTGGGATTGGTGTGCTTTACAAGGATGCTAGGGCATTGAAAAAGCTGTTGTCTCATCAGCTCCTGGACCACTCAGTCGACCTGAAAGTGACAACCCAGGGGTTATCATGAGGAACCTTTGACACATAATCCTGGATGTGTGATCATCACACCAACCATGAAGGAAAAATATCTCTGCACATGCTCAAATGTACTCTCTGATCTTTGATATTTTTGTGTGTTCCAAAAATAAGGCCTTGCTTTCAAAACAGGCTTAGAATTGAAGCCACCTGTTTCAGGAGGCCCCATTCAAACAAAAGACAGTTAATGGAGTCTAAATGCTTCAGCAAAGTTTTACAAGGATTGGTTTTAGCAGATGGTGGAAGACACCCTACAAGTAACAAAATACCTTGAGTTGCAAAACAGGTTCTGTGGCAATGGTGCTGATTCCTGAAGTTGCTCCTAATATTCTTGCAATTTCTCTCCCATGAATTTAATCTACACTCCTGTGAAGAAACTAGTAATTTTTCTCTCTGAGAAAATGAGATCACTCTGTCATATGTACACAAATAATGAATGAGTTTGCTGGTTTTAGTTCCTGGATGTTGTAATGCAGGGTTTTACGTCTTGCTTACATTTCACCCAAATAATTTCCAGTCTTGTTATCTCTGACATTTGGTACAATGTAGAGGATGAATTAAGGGTGTTAAGGGTTGCATAAAAGTTAAAGGGTGTGGGGTTATCACAGCTTCTTGGTCGTCTTGCACAACTGGAATCAGCTTTCATACTGTTTGTCTGTTTTCATAATGTGTGTCTTTGAAAAGCAGAGGGGGGAGATGAACTACATTGGGGATAAAGGACCAATCTGTAATTGCTTGTTTGTGTGTCTAGAATCCAGGGACTGCCACTGCCGAGGCACTTGTGTAAAACAAGAGTCTGGGGTTTTCTGTGGGGATAATGATGTTATTTAAGACTGGGAAAAGGGGTAATTCAGTCAAAGTTTAAGAACCACTGGTCTAGAGTCCAAACCCTGCATGAGCAGTGCTGAATTATACAACTACACAGGTCTGTTTATGGCCAGTTTTTACTTATACTCTTTAGGTATAGCTAAGGTCATTATCACCAAATTCCCTCTAGTTCCTGGGTATTCAACTACAAACTGAAATGTTCCAGCAGTCCAGAATTTGGCGCTCCTGTGTTGTGATCTTAACTTTCAGAAAACTCATGGATGCTGAAGGAGAATTCTCACACTAGCTGGTGAGGGGTGTAATCTCCTTAAAAGGTGTTTCCTACATCTTTCCCTAATCATGTGCTTTATTATTTAGGAGAATTTCTTCAAAATAATTCATACCTGTAGGTTCTTTTCAGAAATAAGGGGCTTTTTGTACAGACTTCCCTCTAACATCTGGTGTCCACAAACTGCATGGCCAAATTCGGAGAATTTTGATGGAGACTTGAGTTCCGTTGCAGTCTAAAAGGGTGGAATTTGACACAAATCTGCATTCCGAGAAACCAAGTGACGGAGCTGTTGCCTGATATGTGCACATCACTCCTTCCTTGTATGAAAACTTTAACCTTGCCTGTTTCTAACCTATTTATACAAATGTAGCAGGGTGTCCTTTTCAGACCAAGAAAGGCAAAGAAAAGTCCTATACAAGAATCTCTACAGCCTGTCTTCATTCAGGTCCTGATAAGATGCACGAAGGCCCCCCAAAGCTGTCTTTTCTAAGGCTCTGAATCTGCCTTGCAACGTCTCCACAGTTTTCTTCCCCCCTGAAATGGCTTTTGTTTTACTACCTCATACTAGCTTTAGAATTTATTCTGATTTATTTTGGTGGTGCTTGTGACTTTGATTATTGGAGGTGGTTGAAGGTGTGTCACTGTGTGGGCTGGTTTCAGTCACATCCCTTTCCAGAGTTCAGAAACTGCTTGGGCTACCCCAAATAACTGCCCATTCCCTGTCTGAAAAAGCTCCTGTGGAGGAGCTGCCTTGTAATTCTCGTTCCTGGGAAATTAAAAGAATGCACAGGTTGCCAAAAAGGATGCTGAAATGAGGATTATGCAC